TATATATATTTGGTTCTAAACATATTATGTGTTAGTATATTAAATTATTTTTTTCTTTTTGTGATGAAAATATTATATTTATTCATTGGATACTAGAAATAAATATAAACCCTATAATTACAGAATGGTACTACTTAAATTTTAATACAAAACTAGTTAAATGAATTTGTGTTTTTAAATATTATTTTATGTTGCGTTGTGTTAACAGCTAGGCAAAGTGAATTATTTTCTTTTTAAATAACTATAGAAACAGGGGGAGCAGGAAAATTAAAATAAATTTTAACTAGAATCACATAAATGGAAGGATGTAACTGGAAAACCATTTATCATCTTAAGTAAACAAACTTTTTCATACCATTTTCTTAAACTGACTTCTAACATACTCTAATATCCCTATAATGAACTAACATCAAATTAGAATTAAGGCCTGAATTGAACAATTGATACATTACACGAAGTTTAACATAAATGTACAGTTAGCAGATACACTGACAAACGACTGGCTTCAATAGAATTACACCATTATTAGGGTACAAATGTAAAATAATGACATTTTACTTGTAGCTAAAGCAGTAACCTTTCTTGTAAATATTGTACAGGCTGGTTCATTTTCGATGGGATTTCAGGGTATCTCAGAAACTACTAATGATATGATAAATCTGACACCACGTTCTCAAGCTCGATTTTCATGGCAAACTCGACTGTCAAATCAGAAATTTGCTATCTTTATTTGTTTCTGAGTTACAGGACGTTTCTCGTTATTGTGACACTTTTAAACATGTCTGTATCTCAGCTGTTAAATAAGTTAGAGTTAAAGTAAAAACTGCTCAAGGCTAATTCTTTGGCGTAAAATTGAATGCCGGTATTAGATTTTTAGTAGGTTTTAAGATTTCGGAGTTATGACCCAAAGTTATAATTTTTTAAATGGAAATCGTAACTGGTTATGACCTAAAAAAATGGAGATTTTTTTTTTTTGCTTTTCAGCAATATATCACATGCTATAGATATTTTTCCAAACACAGAAGATACGGGGTATTTTATATATAAATTCGATCATTTTTACATTTTAATATGGCTGGCTATGAAAATACATGCACTACTATAATTCTTACTTTTACAAAACTCATATCTGTAAAAATGTGACGTTTATTTAAAATATACATTACAGATAAGAAAAGACAAATTTTTATTCCACTTCAACTGAAGTTACAATATTAAACGTGAATTAAACAATAATAAGTACCTGCACCAATAAAAACTTTCAAAAATGATAGCTAAATGTTCAAATTGCCGTCCCTCAACTGTCACACATTTCACGCATCTTCTGGCAACGCTTCGGGTGGCATTAATTAAATGTATAGGTATTTGAAATATTTATTATTAAAAGGAATTTTAAATATAATGTCTTTTAGAAAACTTCAAAGAAAAACGTCCAACGGACTCAAATCAGGTACCCTAGCTGGCCATCTGATCAGTCCGTTTGTTCCTATCCACCTATCTCCTAAAATTTCGTTAGTATTATATTATCACACAAGTATATGTTGTGCATTTAAAATAAATGTCATATTTTTACAAGAGATATGACTTTTGTAAAAGTAAGAATTATAGTTTTATCTGTATTTTCATAGCCGGTCATATTAAAAAGGAAAGAAAATATAACTTATATATAAAACACCCCGTATCTCCCGTGTTTGTAAAAATAACTATAGCATGTGTGTTGTGCATTTAAAAAAATATAACTGGGTCATAACTCCTAAATCTTAAGATCTACTAAAAATCTAATACCAGCATTCAATTCTGCGCCAAAGATTTAGTCTTGAGCAGTTTTTACTTTAACTTTAACAGCTGAGATACAGACATGTTAAAAAGTGTCACAATAACGAGAAACACCCTGTAACTCAGAAACAAATGAAAATAGCAAATTTCCGATCTGACAGTCGAGTTTGTCATGAAAATCGAGCTCGAGAACGTGGTGTCAGATTTATCATATCTTTAGTAGTTTCTGAAATACCCTGAAGTCCCATCGAAAATGGACCAGCCTGTACAGGATCATTAACACTTAACGATCAATCTCCTTATTTTTTTTTATGTTTGGTTTAAATGTTTAGGAAATTGCTATTTTGACCCTAAGAATCTTTGTTAGTGTATACGGAATTTTGGGATATCTTGCATTTAATCATAATGAAATGACCAATTTATTATACCAATTATATACATATTTTATAATTAATTATCCAAATAAATCATTCAATATTAATATTTATAGAACGCGACATGTATAACTGGAAGCAAATCGTTTTCTCAGTGTACCTACATTTTGCCAAATGCCGTTGTCGTTCCGCCCAATGCGCCTATTTACCTTTTACGATTCGGTGACTGGTCTCTTGGCCACCCATGCGGCTATGCTGGGGATGCTGTAGACTTTTATTTTCAACGCCTTGAGCGCCGGATACTGATCCAGGGCCGCCTTCCCAAACATATGTTCGAAATTCTCCAGCGATACGGCGAAAATGAAGTCACACCAAGTTATCTGAAACGCACATATCATTTGATACTTTTCCAGGATGGCTTTTAAAGAAAACACGAAATGTGATTCGTGTTCAAGGAAATCTGTCGGTTTTAAGGACAGCCGCGTTCAAAATACCTCTATAGGAGCTATTATAAAATAACGAGCGTTCAAATAAAAACGTGGTCAAGTTGGCTCTGAAAATTTGGACGTAGGGCGTAGCGTATAGCAAATGAACTTAAACGTCATCTGTCAAAGCGCTAATCGCCGCTATCAATTTGAATATTTTCGTTTTAAAAAGCGTTTAAAATGGTTTTCTCAAGAACAAAAAGTGTTTATCATAGAGTCCTACTTTAGAAATGGACGCAAGATTGATGGAATATGGAAGTATTCTATTGAGGAATGTTTCATAGAATTTCAAAATCATTTCCCGGCGTTGTTGAGTACAAAATTTTTCAAAGTGCAGTTCAGCGTTGTGTTAATGTTTTTCGTGAAACGGGCAGTGTTACAAGAAAAGAAGGAAGCGGCCGACCTAAAAAGCGGACTGAAGAATTAAAAGAAAATGTCCAACAAATAATGGAAAATGCGCCAAGAATTTCTGTACGTGTTTTATCACAAATGGTGGGAGTATCAGTCGGTACCTGCCACACAGTGTTAAAAAAAGATTTGCGTTTGTTCTCCTATCTTTTAACTTGTCAGCAAGAACTTCATGAAGTTGATTTTCCGCGACGGGCTGTATTTTGCGAATGGTTTTTAAACAACTACGGTGAACTTCATAATATCACCTTTTTTTCTGATGAAGCCTGGTTTCATTTAAGTGGTTACGTAAACTCACAGAATATGAGAATGTGGTCTTCTGAAAAACCAGATAACTTTTTTGTCGAAAGCCCTCTACACGCTCAAAAAATTGGAGTTTGGTGTCCTCTCAATCGAAGGAGGATTTATGGACCTATTTTTTTTAATGGTACTCTTACTGCGCAAAGGTATAGAGAAGAAATTATCGCTCCTTTTGTTAACTAGCTGGAAGAAAACGAAATTACAAACTTTTACTTTCAACAAGATGGCGCAAGGGCACATACGGCAGGCGAGACGATGAATATGTTGAGGGAAGTTTTCCAAAATCGACTAATAAGTCTCAATGCTGAACATGAATTTCCACCGAGGTCATGTGATATTACGCCGTGTGATTTCTTTTTGTGGCCTTACCTTAAAAACACTGTTTTTGAACTGCCTATTCCTGATTTAAACCATCTGCAGGCTCGACTTATAGACAAGATTCGTGAAATTTACAATACCCCGAGCATCTTAGAAAATGTCTTTAATTCTTTGAGGAACAGGTGTGAAAAGTGCTTGGAACAAGGAGGGGGACACTTTCAGCAGCTGCTTTAATTTATTGTTATAACAAGGAGGGGGACACTTTCCGCAGCTCCTTTAATTGTTTGTTATTGTTATCACGATTATTCTTTAAAATACAGTTATATAGTCATTAACGTTGAGAAATGAGGTTATGTTGGTCGCTATAAGCTACTCCCTACGTCCAATGTGTCAGAGCCAACTTCGACCACGTTTTTATTTGAACGCTCGTTATAAAGCACCAGGAGGATCTGCTAAAGTTGATTTTATAAAGTTAGTTTTATTTAACCAGTGCGAGATAGGTTAAGCAAAGCTAAATTTATAAAGTAAAGCAAAAACGTTACTATCAAAATATGACCAATACATATTGTTGGAAATTATAAGTGTATTCTCGATAAGGTAGACACATGACCGTGGATCTAATTTTTGATATCTATCAAATATCTCAATTGCTTTGCTCTGTTTGTTGATTTTATCCATATATATTTCCGTATATACAGGGTGTTAGTAAATAAGTGCGACAAATTTCAGGGGGTGATTCTACATGAGAAAATAATGGCAGTTTGCTTATAAACGTATGTCCGCAAATTATTCGTTTTCCGAGATACGGGATGTCAAAGTTTTTCTTAAAAACTGACGATTTAATTTATTGCTCTGAAACCGGTCGAGCTGTGCAAATGAAATTTGGTGAGTTTTAAGAGGTAGTTATTGCACATTTTTTGACACGCAATTAAGAATTTTATATCCACCATTGGCGCGCGTACGGGCAATAATCTCAATTCTTTTAAAGAAAAAAAATGGTACGCCACTGAGATATTACAGATTAAATCATAAATAATATAATAATAATCATACTAATTTTTTAAATGCCATTTTGTTTACTGACGAGGCTACTTTTGGATGACAGTGTATACGAAATTTCCATAACAATCACTTATGGCCTGAGGAAAACCCCCATGGAATCTTTGCAGCTCATTTTCAGCATCAGTTTTCCGTAAATAAATGGCTTGGGGTAATTGATGATCATTTAATCGGTCCATATTTCCTCCCACAACGACTAACAGGCGAATCTTATCTTAATTTCCTACAGGAAGAGTTACCTGTCTTCTTGAAGTAATTCCTCTACAGCTGAGACCTATGGTACATGCATGATGGTGCACCAGCCCATTTTAGCATTAATGTACGTAATCACTTAGACACAGTATATCCAAATCGTTGGATAGGTAGGGGAGGTACGGAACATGGGCCTGCTCGATCGCCGGATTTAAATCCTCTTGATTTTTGCATTTGGGGTTTTCTTAAGTCATTAGTTTATTCCACTCCCGTTGAAAATGTTGATGACCTGAGGAATCGAATTATAGTCGGCTGTGAGACAATAAGAAATATACCAGGAATATTTGCGCGAATACGACAATCAATGAGGCGAAGAGTTGAATCTTGTGTCACGTCTGAGGGAGGTCATTTTGAACATTTGTTGTAGCTTTGCGCCTTTTCAAAATTTTATTAGTGTTATTTTCTGTTATTGTTCTGGTTTAATGTTATTGTATTAGATAGTTCTTGATAATGTATTAAAGGAATAACAAATACGCGTTAAGATGTTTTATTTTTTTGCATCAAAACGGCGCCCCATACAAAGAAAATGCAAGAGAGATTTTTTGTCACAAATTGAACGAGGAATTCAAAAATGATTTTAATTTGTAATATCTCAGTGGCGTACCATTTTTTTCTTTAAAAAAATTGAGATTATTACCCGTACGCGCGCCAATAATGAACATAAATTTCCTAATTGTGTGTCAAAAAATGCGCAATAACTACCTCTTAAAACCCACCAAATTTCATTTGCACATTTCTACCGGTTTCAGGGCAATAAATTAAATCGTCAGTTTTTAAGAAAAACTTTGACACCCCGTATCTCGGAAAACGAATCATTTGCGGATATACGGTTATAAGCAAACTTCCATTATTTTCACATGTAGAATCACCCCCTGAAATTTGTCGCACTTATTTACTAACACCCTGTATATTGCTAGAAATTATAAGTGTGTCCCTGATAAGGTAGTCGTGGATTTAATTTTTGATATCTCTGAAATATCTGAATTGTTTTCTCTGTTTGTTGATTTTGTCTATATATATTTCCGTATATATATTTGTACGGCCTCCATAAAAGACCGTAGATAAAAAATAACGTTTTCATATTATCCTCTTGGAGCCAATTATATTATTTTTCCTTTCAAATTAAATTTAACACACGTAGTTGGTTCCTTTAGAAAACATCCGTGATGCGATTCCATTGTGAAATATGAATGAAGAAGCGAATCCTTTTCTTTGTAAACGAGTATTTCTTAAGATCACTTTATCATTCCTGGCACAATGCAATATTTTTATATTTACTCGAATTAATGTATTCAATCTAAAAATTTCATAATGTTTTCGATTCAAAATTCCACATTAAATGTAATTTATTTATATCCAAGATTTATTAGTTTCTTAATAGAAATAATGTTGTTCCTTTTAGGTAAATTTAATACCAAAAAAATCTATGTAGCACTGTGGTCTTGTGGTCCATTGTGTATGCAGCAAATAAGAATTTTAAAATAGGCCCGTGCTACTGGTGAAGGCAAGCACTAGCTCTGCTAGAGTCACTTTAATGTCCTGAGGTGACTAGGTGTTTGTGTCTTTTCACCATTAAACAGGTGCAGTGACCGAATATGTGTAATGCCCTCGCCATCATGTTCGTAGAACCTGCACCTTACAATGAGGCTCATTTCTATTGAGGTGCTTATTATGTAAAAGTCCTGTGACAATCGTGATGTTTCATCTGCATCGTAGATTCATTTTTCGATTTTCTTCAACTCTTAGACCTTTATAAGAGGCCTGACTCCAACCAAATTCATCCGACCATTCTTTTGCTGATTATTTTCTCATCCAATTGTCAGTGGATATTGATTTACGGCAACCCAAATACTGATTTTGACCATAAGTTGACTGCTTGTGCCCGGTATCGCTCACATTTCAGCCCTTTCAATGACAACTACAATGCAACTAGAAATATGTCAGCTTCACATGGTTCCGAGACCGCACAAGAGATTATTCTGTTTAAAAGAGTCCGCGTCTGACTGTCTTTGCATATTTACATATGCTGATTTATATTTCTCCTACCGTTGCATATTTCCCCAAACGATAAAACGTATTCACTTCTGCTCTAACGTCACAAATACTGGCTCCATTGTCCTTGTCTGGTCAGGGCTCCTATCCAATATCTCTACTCTGAAATTTCTATGAAAAATGTAGGTAGGAAATATCTTGTCGCTTGCGGCTCAAAGAATCTCATCTTCTACTATTTCTTAGAGGACAATGATTTCTTTTCATGCGAATCCCTTCTTGTCTCTGCTTTTACCACAAGGTGTAATTTTGGAAGAGCTTTAACGCTTTAGTGGGAACTGTTGCCTAACTCTTCTGCAATGTCGACATCCAGCCATTGCAGTTTCTTCAAACATTGTTTGATTGTGAACCATACAGCAGGCTATCATAAAATAGTTGCAAATGGCTGTGTAAAGTAATAAAGTATCTTCAGATATAAGACCATATCTTTCCAAAAAGCCTTCTGCAAACTCAACAAGACGTCGTGGTTTTTTGTAATTACCTATTGATATGGGGTTCATTTATCGTCC